TTTGTATTTGTGTATGTATTACTACATATTTGTTTAATTGTTAATTATAGTTCCTACTACTACAACTAATAGTTTTGTCCTTATAGGGTTCTAGTTTCTAACTGGTACTATTGGAAAGATTCTATTTTTCCTATTCAGGACTTCAAGATGAGTTTTCAGTCCTTACATCCAGATTGGGTAAGTTCCCAGTCCTTCATTGGTTCCTCATTAGCACTTTTTCATAGGACTTATATCAGATTTATATCCGCCTATTGACACCTAACCAGATGTATTTCTTGATGTAACATAGTACATTACACCAATGCCAGTGTCTAGGGCTACAGGGCCAGAGTGCGAAAAGCGATACTCCCAACTTTACAGGATATGGTTGACCATTATACAGATCATATAACACCAGATATATTTATTATATATTTAAAAATTGTCACCAATAGGATTTGAACTCTAAACCTGGCCATCTCGGATGCAACAACTTAACCATTTCACTAAGTCGTCACATTCTTTGTAAATTAATTTAAATAGGTAATTTTCTTTTTATTATAACTTTTTTTTTATATAATAATTATAGTTGAAATTTTGCAAGTTTATGCATCAAGGTTACACTAAAGTACTTGTATAGTAGTACAAAAAATACTCAATTATGATTGGTTAATTTAGAAATATATCAAAAAATTTCAATTTTTTAATTTTTTTTTAAAAAATTAACTAACTTTGAGATTTTTTTAAACAATATATAATCAAAAATTAATTTAATTTTTTTTTATAAATATATTCTATAAATCTTCAAATATTAAATATATTTATTTAATTGCAAATTAATATGTAAAATTTTGTATAATTACATTTTAATTCAAATGTATCAAGTTGGTGTATCATGCTTAATAAGACGACCAATACAAAAATCACATTTGAGTATATAGAAGTAGCATACCATGTTCTCATGAAAATTTTATTTATTTATCATTTAATAAAAATATAATAAAAAACACTGCTCTTACAAAATTGAAATCGCTTTAATGTTAAAAATTTCTGTCTTGTCAAATTATAACTTTATTAAGTAATCTATTTTTCATTAATTAGGTATTAGTAAAATAATTGTTATATTCTATAAAATGTATGAAATTTGATTCGCTTAATATGATTTTTACAAATGCCTAATAAGAAACAAGAGTGTTAATTTATCAAAATGTACCTAACCCATCAAACTCGACAAGTGATAATCATGTACTTAATTCGTCAAACTCAACAAGGGATGATCGTTGGTATTAATTATCTTCTAAACATGAATCAATATTAATATGTATATCTACAATATTAATTATAATGTTACAGTGCTTGGACCTCCATTCTTTTAAGATAAAAATGTATTAGTACATATAAAATTTAATATAAAAACTAGAAAAATTCCCGATTATAATATTACCTACAAATGGATATCTCCAACCACATTGAAATTCTTGTTTTTTATATACTCTATCTGGGCTCATAGAAGTATTATATCCAAAATAGTACATCAATAAGACCTTTGACGTGACTAGTGTCTATGTACATTCTTCGCAGCCTTTAGCCTTACCCATAAGACAGTTATTCAAAATAATGTCGGGAGAAATTTTCAGTGATTCTTCCTTTAAAAGAAGATCAGATGCAATAAGAACTTTACTTTTTTTTATCAAGAGGCCACTGTATTATTAAGCATATTAATATTAATATCTAAAGTTTAAGATGAAACAATAAAAAAGTAATTACCTTCCACCTGTTCCAACAAAGATGCCACAATGTTTAGGAACTTGTAAATTGGCATTATATATAGCCGTTAACATTTCTTTCCAGTTACCGTCACATAAAACCACAAGGACAATGTAGGAGCTTTTAAGAAACCTTTTTCTCGATGGAATCTAAGATAATTTTGAGCTTTTAAATTGTTTGCGTATACTGATCTCGCTTTGTCAAACATGGGATGATTACTAAAATACTGTAGGTATATATGATCACTTGTGTACGTCTATATAGAGAACTCACATCGGGCTTATCGGAAAAGTTTAGATACGAGTCAATAGTACGTCTCGGGGCAGTCATTAAGAGGAATGTTAACAGAAAACGATCATCTGGAAAGATCTTATTCAATGTTGTCTCTCCAACAAAATTTGGTTGAGTATAGAAATAATTGCCAAATAACAAATAAAAGCAAGCGACCAAAATAATAGAATATTTTTTTAATCCAGAAATCATTTGCAATGGACTATTAATCCTTTTAATCTTGCCGTAATTGCAATTGCATTGTGTTTTGATAATAATTGCTCACTTATGCTATGTCTTTTTAACTTGCTTTTTGATTGAGTTAAACGATGGTACGAATTAGACCATTAATAAACCAGTCAAAGATCACCATAAAATATTTTGGTATGCATAATTAAGCATACACATAATAGTTGAAAGGTAATTTTATGGAGTTTTATTTTTAAAAGTCATTTATTGATACGGAACAAAGATTTATCATTGACACTAAGCGACTGAAAGGCTAGCAAAGCAAATAAAAAAGGTGATAGTCCTACGGTATATGAATTAAAGCAAATTAGAGCATAAGAAAAATCGATAAGTAGGATTACCTTGGTTACATTCGTGCAAAGCTTCACTGAAAAATAGTGCGGATAATGACCAACCAGTTGATCCAGAGAATATAAAACCGATGTTTTGCCGTAAAGTGCATATACTAAGGAGCAAACTTATGAAAAGATAAGTACCCTTTTTTGGACCACCAATCGCGGAGGTTAGAGATTCTTCAAAAGGACCAAGAGTGAACAGATTGCAAACCGTTAGTAAAATGGTCTGTATGGAAAAAGAAAAGAGTAATGGAGACAAAAGAAGGTTTAAAATCTCTAGACGATAGATAACGAATGATGGAGCAAAGCATTTCAGTGATATAAACCAGACCGATTGAAGAAAGAAACTAGTATATTCAAGAAAATTATATAACGGGTCATTACGGATAAATTCATGATAGTGAAACTCGGGCGTTACGGCGAGTCAGTCGCTCCACAATCCAAAACCTTGCGTAACTTACGGTTGGCTTAGTCGAAAAGAGGCGTTTAGATTTGGTCGGTGGTTTGGGTCCGTAGGTAAGTATTTCTTCTTCACTTGTACTGTGGTTTTCCT